AATCAGGTCAATGGATTTTATTATTGTTGCAGTTTTTCTTTTATTGGGAAGTGGAAAGTTTTCGCCGCGTGAATACAACAATCCACTCGATATGAAATAGAACTGAATCGTACATGTATATGTACAAGTATGTATATATGTATATATATATATACATATTCGTTACTATATAAAAAATTATTTTCGTCGAACATTCTCTTACCACATTTTAGATTTAGCCAAAAACAAATATGAACTCACAATCATGGTGTGGATTAAATGCGCTTTGATTCGTGGTCAAAGACTTTTTCCTTTCCGCAATTTCTAATACTACACGCATTTATTATTTGTGTGCCTTTTGAGTGGCAAACTTTTCCATAAGTGGATCAAAGTGATTTCAAAGTATTTATTGGTTGTTATATGTCTCTATATGAAAGCAAAAGTTGTTTTGAAAGGCTTTTGCTTTGCTGTAAAATATTATTCCGTTTTTGGGAAGAGAGACATATCTGTTCTTTATTATATCAAGTACTACAAAAGCAAATTTGTCGATCGCTTGTAATTTGGAGAGTGATGAATCGAACAAACAAGCGGGCATAAATAATTGTAAACAAATGGGAAGGGATTGTCGATGTACATATACAAACTGAGTTTCGGAATCAAAAGCTAGTATGGAAAACTTTTTCAGTTTTTTGATGAAGACAATAACAAAATCTTCGCAGAAATGGTTTAGATCGGATCGCTAAAGTAAATAGCTGGCATAGAAACTGAATGATCGGAATCAAGCGCTTCTAAGATATCTTTTGTAGTTGCGAATATTACTGCATCATCGGTGCAACCAAGGTATTTTTGTTTGGTTTTTTAAGTTATTGTTATTTTTATGGAAAAGAAAAAAAGTACGTTTGAAAGCCTTTACCAATTTAGCGGATCGCAAGGTATTAGGCTGGAAATATGTGAATTTCGTGACAACAAACAAGATATCCAGCTAGAAAAATTGTCTTAACTAAATATATAAGAGAGAAAACAAATGTTTTTTCGGAATACCTAGAAAGTCCCTTTAAACCATATGACATACCTAATGCCGCAGAAATGGAACCGAATATTTACAACAATTAAGTTTAAAAAACCACTTGGGTTTGATCTTATTACAAGCGAAATACTAAAACAACTTCCTCAAAATGTTATAAGTAAAATTAAAGCCATACTGAACGCTAATATTATTCTACAATATATCTACTTACTGGAGAATAGTAAAGATTATTATGTTCAATAAACCCAGAAAGTCAGCGCATGGTTTAACTTCGTATCGGTCCATATCACTCCAGCCAATACTTTTAAAGCCTTTAGAAAAACTGCTTGCTGTGCCGTCTAATAACATAATTGAAGAGACGATGCTGATATCGGTGCATCAGGTTTTGAAAAAATCTCTCCATTATTAACCAAGTACATCGAATAACTCGAGTCATTGAAAATGCCTTTGCAAAAAAAAAAAAAAAAAAAAAAAAAAAAAAAAAAAAAAAAAAAAAAAAAAAAAAAAAAAAAAAAAAAAAAAAAAAAAAAAAAAAAAAAAAAAGTTTGCTCGGCCGCCTGCTTCGAAGTTTCTAAAGCTTTTGATAAAGTATACCATGGCGGCTCCTAAGCAAAATAATATTACAATATCTTAAAATAATACCTTTGGGATGGTTGTTTTCGAATTAAACGTGGAGATATATACTCGGATTTAAAGGAAATAAAAGCTGTTGCTCAGTTGGTGTCATCATCCATCCTTTACCTACTAATTACGTGCGATCTACCATACGCTGACAATTGCATAACAACAACATGTGTAGATGATACTGTGGTTTTGTTAAACATAATATTTTAATGGACGGCTAAATGGCGAATAAAATTAAACGAAACTAAGTCGATATCTATTTATTTCAGATACAACAATATTAGATATATGGCTCTGTGTGGTGCAAATACCAAATCACAATACTGCGAAATGCCTAGGTATGACAATGGACACAAATCTTATATGGAGTGCACATCTCAAAGAAATAAGAAGACCATGTGAACACTGAAGTCTCAGCTCACGTCGTTCACGAAAAAAGGAAAACCGCATCACCTTATACAGTAGCCAGGCTCTCTGCATTTTATAGGCAGAGCATCATTAATTTTTTTGTAGTATAAACTAAGCAGAACCTTATTTGCGGACACTTACCTTTACAATACACTGGTAAGAAAATTTTTTTTTTTAATTTTAAATCAATTTCCTTTGTAATATAAAAATGCAATATTCGAGGATTTTAAGTATAAGGCTTTTTATTGATTTTTACTGGACTATAGAATAGTGCCGTTATTCTTAAAGAAATCTTCGAAAGCTCTATGCTGACGAATGTCTTTCATGCGGAAGTACCGTAATAACTAAATAATTTTTGGAAACTTGCTTGTGTATATATTTTTGCTTGTAGTGCACTCAATATTTGGCAGTATAAATATACCTAGATATATGAAAGCAAATATAAATGCGTTTATTTCTTTATATTTAATGTATGTACGCTCTCTAATACGTTTCACTCGACTTGCTATGCAATATTATTGTTGTTAATATATAAAGTCGTCAATTTGCTTGTTATTAACATTATGATAACCATTTTTAAAGTGTACTCTCGATTACTATTTCGTTTTCACAAATATATATAAATGTGTATATAACTTTATTTTTATGGCTTGTTGAAACTGTATCTATTGCAGTGCAGTTATGGGTGTTGATTTGCAGAATTTTGAAAATTTTGCGTGTATTTATAATTTGTTAACTGCTTATATTAAAATATTACTTATATATTATTTTTATATTTTATGGTGCACACCTAGTGTGAAATTTTGAATTTTTATTTTTCACTTCAATAGTCTGACGATATTTTGAAAAATAAGTTTATAAAATTTTTAAGGAATATTTCAAATACTTTTTTACTTACAGGCTTCTAAGATGTAGCAGATCAGGCAACTCACTCTATTAGTTTATCTTTAAACACGTTTGCTACAGTAAATACTCGTAGAGAAATGCTTTGACCTATACATTTCCATTTCTCCATACATTAACTTAACAGTTTCGGTTTTGCCAGTCCAAAGCAAGGTAAGTTTTTTGTATAATGGTACTATTTTCAAAAATGCCCTCAAGTCAAGTTCTGTCCTTTTCTGCTTTTAAGATTTCAACCGTGGAATCACTGCAGCAGGGAGAAGCTCTTTTTTAATGCCATTGAAGTTCGAGTATAACTTAAAAATACTTATTTACTTCATTGAAGATGACGTTTATTTATTTATTTATTCTAAAAATGTTTACTCAGTTTACTTAAAATGTGTGTGAATATACCCTTAAAGGGTCAATGATAGTAATAAAATTTTGTAGGTGTGCCCCTTAAAATATTATGTTTATAACTACAATATTGTAATAATAAAGAACTCGAAAAAGTGAATAAAAACATATTATTTTTTCAAACTTTAAGAAAACTTGATGAAAACAAAGAATACAAATTTTCAAAATTTTGAAAAATAAAAATATCAATATTATTAATCACTATAGTATTAATATGAAGCTACGTCACGTCATCACAAACAATTTATTTTACTTAAGGGGTTACATTGGTTTGCGGTTTTCAAAAAATCCAAAAAAAAAAAAAAAAAAAATATTGTCTTTTTAAATTCTACAACACCTCTACAATATTGTCCTAAATTCAAGTTAAGTAATAGTTTCGGAGTTACACTCTTGAGAATTTATGCGATCGAAGCTAGCTAGGCTAAGTGTGCCGTCCTTAAACGCGTTTTTTTCGAGAACTACTGAATCGATTTTCATGAAATTATACACAGGTCTTTGAGATACAATTCCTTAAGACTTAGACGAAGAATTTTTTTCGTTTACAATTAGTTGAAAAAAATGTCGCTAAATTTTTACATTTTTAAAAATTAATTTTTTGTAAAAATTTCTGTGAAAAATCAAAATTTCTTAAAAAAAAACTTTCAGTTTGTTTTTCTTTGTACAAGTTCTAAGTGAAGGTCTTGACTTTTTTTGCTTTAGATGATCCTGAAGGCAGTTATCTTGCCAAAGTAGGCGTAGGTTTTCCAAGGGGATACGGAAAATGGCATCGCAACGGCCGAGTTTAAAATATTTTTTCCAAAAAATTCAGAGTTTTGTGTTAAAAGTGTATGTAAGTAATAATAAAGTATTTAATTTTTTTTTGAGGAAACTCTTAAGTGGCTGTCTGGTATAGAAAGAAACATATTTTTTTATTTTTATTTTGAACGTTTAACTATTCAAGTATATGGCTATGAGAGAATTTTTCGAATTTCAAATTGGTTTTGGAGATATGGGTATTTTGATGACATGCCACGCCAACTGCTTTGGCCGGAACAAATATAAGAAAACTTTACTAGAACATTATACAACGTATGTCAGGAAACTGTTTTTTTCAAGATTACACCTTCGACTTCTCATGTTCCATAGAACTGACTTGGTTAATATTTTTAAATGGTCTTAGACTTGTCTATATCTGGAACCATCCATTTAGCCAACCTTCAATTTGTTCTACTTTTTCTGTTAATTCGAAACTGTCGAAAGAGGTATTATAAAATTTGTTATCTCTTCAAGCAATCGTCATTTCGAAAAAAATTCCAAATTTTCCTTAGATCCCGAAATTTTTTTTTATTTGTAGTTGCTAGATTTCTACCTATCTTCGTGTGAATTTTTATTAAAAAAAAAAAAAAATTATTTAATAAAAAAAAATATTTTTAATTTTTTCATACTTTTTTACAAATATGTGTTAAAAAAAACTTATATTAATTTTTGAAAATTTATTGAAAACTAATTTCAGATAATTTAATATTTTTTAGTAGCTACATATTTTATAAATACTGGCTATATTGCATGCAATGTGGTTTTTAATAAATATAATGCTAGCTGCAAAGAATAAAAAGTTTTTTAAGGTGCATGTACTTGTTTTAAATTTTTGTGATTTCATCAATTTAATATATTTTTTTGAAAATTATTATGCTCAATGCTGGCATTGCTATGACTTTACATCCGATATGAAAATGATATTTATCACAGATTATTTTGATGCAATCGAAAAACAAAGCAGAAGAGGATGAAAGGACGCATAAGTGCTTATGTAAAAATTTATGTATGAATTTCAATGAGAATTTGTGACTACTTATAAGTGAGTGCCTGTATACCGAAGACGCTTAAATACAAAATCTGTGCGCGCTGTGTGCCAGTGCGTATACGTGTTTGACCGAGTGTGTGTTCGTGTGATTTTGGTGCTTATACATATATATTTACTGCGAAAGTTATAAATAGCTCGACTTATGTACCTAATAATTATTTCGCCTTCAACTTTTCATTATTTTTATACTCATGGCAAACGGGAGAAACCTTCTAATACAAGATTATATACGTCACATCAATGCGAACCAACAATAATAAACGCTCGAACAATCAACTAGTCGAATAAACGTATCTTCGCATCTCTTGCAAATGCTTCAATTTCGGTATGTATGTAACGATGAACACTTTGTCGGTGCCTAAGTAATGCCGCAGACGTCGTCGGCGGCAATGTTGCTGCAGTTACAGTAAATGAAATTCTATTGCCATCTCGCCCTCAACGCCTGGCGTATTGGCAACAGACAGCGCTGCGAGGCACTCGTTGTGTCGGCAGACCCGATATACCCTTCAGATATGTATAGGAGACTGGTTGCCGGAGTATACGTTGCGGTGGTGGCTTCGTTTTGCCTTTTGAGGACGAGCACTTCAATTTCGCCGATGACGTAGTTGAGGCTGATGCCGATGACAAGTGTAAGCTCGTTGCCGAATTCGACGTGCCACTAACCTGTGTCTTTCTATTCAGCTCCACATTCGAGTTGTATTTCAGTGCCGATTTGATGGGCGTGTTATGGCTGCCGCTGTGTTGCGACGCGTTGTGTGGCGTGTCGGCGCTGGTAGTGCCGTTAGCGCCGCTACATGATAGCGAACGTGTTGATAGCGAGAAATTTTCAAAGGCGCGTCGTATGGAAGAGGTAGACCGGCGATGCAGCCGCGAGAAGCTGGCGCGTGCATTGCTGCGTCGCTCTTTGGCTGCTGTCGATTTCGTAGTTGTTGTTGTTGGTGAACGTAGCTGCTGTTCGTCAATGTCGGCGGTGCTGCTGGTCTCGCTGGAAGCGCACGATATGTGTTCACTGCTCGAGCCGTGACCGTCCTTCAAGCAGGCGTCACCTAATTCCAACTGCGCGCCAGCACTGTTATTGCTGTTGCTGGCGTTTACCGCGTTACCGCCATTTGGCGGCGATGACGTATACGTTGAACCGGCTGTACGCTGCACAGTTGGCATTGCAACGATGTTTGATGAGCATGAATCGGTCGAATCGTCTTCGGCGGCACTGAAAATTGGGTCATCGCTGGAGCGCAGCAGTCCAAAGCGGCGGCTGAGTTGCTGAAAGAAGCTCATATTGCGTTCGTAGCGTGGTGTTGGTGAAATGCTGTGCGTTCTGCTGACGGCACCAGGCGACAGGCTACAGGCCGGCATGTCCTTGCTTGGCTCGGTGTGCAACGTCATTGTCGTCGCGTTCAAGCTGTTATTTGCGGTGCAGGCATTCAAACTATGTAGCTCATAAGCAGCTGCAGTTGAGTTGGAAGCGCACAGCGTTGAGGCCGCTAAGGCTGAGGTGGCGCTTGTGTAGCGCGGCACATCGTCGAAGCAGACGTGCAAGGTGCCCATTGCTTTGTGGTTCACAGTACTTCAATGCAGACGCGACTTTCTTCAGTATAATGCTGCACTTTTTATATTAATTATTTTTTAAAAATTAGAAAATACGTCGAGAGCACTCGTTTTTTACTTTCTTCAATTTTTTTCATACAGTGTAGTTAAAGTCAATGAGTTATTTTTTCTTATTTGCTACTGCTTTTACACATTTATTCACAATCGCGTATGTATCCTTTTTATTTTCGTCCACGCTTTGTCCTCAAAATGTTTCCAATGTAAACACTGACGCTCTACGGCGGCGTTTGACTTTGTTTTCATTATGCGGCTTCTTTTTATAGCTTCGACCGGCGAAAGCTGCAAGTCTGCAAAATCTCTGTGCAGAATACATTCCTTTTACGTTTTCTCTTGATTATGCTCAGCCGACATCCTTTGCTCTGCTCGCGCTCAGTTTAGTATATTTGAGAGTTAAACTTATTTGTGTTATTTAAAATACTATTGAAGTATAATTAAAAGTTGAGGGTTGCCGTAAGTCGGAATATAAAAATAAATATTTATTATGATATTTTCGCTGTTTCAAATTTGTAAAAAATAGTAAAACTTAATTCCAGGTAAGTCTATAAGTCTGCCTAAAAATATCTAAATCACTGCAGTGGAATCTGAGGAATCGTGAGTATCTTTTTGAAAATTACAGTTCCGAAGAAACGCGGTTAGGAGTAGGGTAATCTTAAAAAAAAATTTTTTTTTTGAAACCCACTTTACCATTGGAAAGCTTCGGAAAAGGCCCAAAAATAGCATTACTGCTCCAAGTTTGTGGCGCTCTTAGTGCAACCCTAGCTTCAAACGCATTTTTCTCAAAACACTATTTTTTAAACTGGCGGACATGATTCCGTTCGAACTACTCAACCGATTTGCTTAATTTTTTTTTAATGTTCACAAAACGCTTGGCTATCGTCCCTAGCAGATTCATAATTTTTTATAATTTATTGACAATGTTATGACAAAATGTATGTAAAAAATATGGAAAAAATTAAAAAAAAAAACTTTAATTACTTTTTTATTTATCAACATTTTTTTATGATTCTAATAGGGACGATAACCATTCACGTTTTTAAGAATAAATTGGGTTTTTGTGTTTCAGATGATCTAAACATGAGAAATCGTGTCCGGCAGTGGAAAAACGCATTCACCCAGTCATTTCTCCGACAGATGTCATAAAAAAACTCCGAAAACTCCGAAAACTCCGAAATTTCCGAAAATTTTTTTATACGCTCCACGATATATTTCATGGGAAAAGTTCTATTGGATAATAAAAATTTCTATGAAAAGTCAGTCATTACTCCGACAGATGTCATAAAAAAATTCCGAAAAAAATTTTTATACGCTCCACAATATATTTCATGGAAAAAGTTCTATTAGAGAATACAAATTTCTATAAAAAAAAACGTTAAAAAACAGGCCAGATCACCCTACTGACCCCTTTACATATCGACGTAAAATGCGCCGAGTGGTTCCGTACGTCAGTCCGAGTGGCACTCTAAACACATTCTTTACTGCACGTGAATTTTTGTAATAAATTTGAACAATTTGTAAACGTTGTTAACATTGAAGCATAAATTAAGAATTTTAAAATTATTAACAAGCCTTACTATTTTTTGATCGTAGCATAAAACTACAACAGCTTATAAAGGAGTCCAGATTTTGCAAAAACTCCAAAAGATTTTTGTCTGTAAAAGGTTTTATGGTTTATTTCTAGAATTTTTTTGTGCCAGGCAATAGCCATTTCATTAAAAAGTAATACAATTTTTCTTAGTTTTTGATAGATCCATATTATTCTAGATTAATACTTTTGGTTTCCGATAGAAGACTGAAAATTATGAGTATGGTTACGAGCTATTTTTTTTGTGATTTTCACATTATGAGCTGCGAATTTTTGACTTTTTAAATATTTGAAAACTTTGTCTTTAATTTTGTTTTTAATTTTACAAAAATTGATATGAAAAATAATGAGTAGGGTTTCTCGTCTAAATACTAAAAAAAAATTTTAAATTTTCATTTATTTTAGGAAATTAGTAAAAAAAAACGGCATTTATTTTTGAGTAGCTGCTATTTTATGAGAAAATTTTTTTTCGAGCTTACAGGTTACATTAATACTTATTAAGAATCCATCATTGTTTTATTTATGAGATGAATACAAGGATAGAAATCATGACTACGATGACACGACCTTTTTCCGCCCGCGCGCTTCAAAGACGGATAACTCAGTGAAATTTTTGTGTATTCTTCAAATACAAATAAACAATGTATAGAAAATGCATAGTCAAAATATGAATTGCCTCTGGGTTGTCAGTTGCTAAAATACAATCGAAATTTAAGGGGCTATACCAGTGTAACGCATGAAAAATTAGGCAATTTTCGTGAGTTTTTTTAAGAGAAATATTATATATATATATTTTCAGCTATTTTTTGAGGTTTTTTTTTCAAACATGTTGAATTCGGAGGTACCAAAAAAAAGGGTCCCAACTACTGACACGATTCCGGCCGAAAAAGTAGCTGAAACAAAAAAATTCAAAAAGTTTATTATACTTAAAGTTATTTCCTATACAATGATCTACGATCTTTGAAAATATCGTTTTTTTAGGTAAAAAATGGGTCAGTTTTAATTTGAAGTCGATCGGTTAATTTCTCGTTGAGTTGTGATGTTAGCACTTTTGAAAAATGTCGTTTCGAGAAAAACGCACACCTCTAGCACAGATTTCTTTGATGTTTATTCCTGCGAAAAATGAAGATTGTGCGAATTTTTTATTTTTATTAATTTTTAGAAATATTTTTTAAAAATTTTGCCAACCAAAACTCATAAAAAATCAAAAAGTAATAACATATTTTGTTCTACTTTTTTAACTATTCGTCTCAGCAAAACTTTCTCTTTATTGTAAACCGCTCAACAATACAAACTCGCAAACGTTCTCAACTGATGTCGCTGCATTTCCTGTTGCTCTCCGGAGTCATTGGCCTTTCATGCACAGCTTCTGCAAAACAGTTTCACTTGCATTAAAAGATTGAAAGCAAACATATATATGTATTATTCTAGTAAATTATGGAGCGGCCCATGAAGTGGCGGAGAGTACGAGATAGGTACATACGCATAAGCATACCAGCACATAAAGGTGTGTACTTAAGTATATATATATATTCGAATTTTGAGGTATATGCTTGCAAGGGGGAAGTAAAAATATTTTATATACGCTTGTTCGTTTGCTTAGCTGAAAATAGCGTGATCATTAAAATTTCATGAAACAACTTAAAAAAGGTGTACAAAGGGTGCTTGTCTGGTTGTGCAGTTTGTACACTAAAAATGTTGCTCTTAAAGTAATTTGAGTTGTCTTTTGCCAAAACTTTTACATTATTGATACTATTATTAAATATTTGAATACGTGTGTAAGCCTTTAAGTATAACTCATACGCACTGTCGGGTATATTTGACTATTCGGCCACGGCGTATGAGTTACTTAAAAAGTATTGAAATACGAAGAAATACGAATGTAAACTCTTAAGGGGTTACTTGGGTTTTCTCAGCTAAAAAACATCATTTATACAACAATCTTTTTCTAAAAAATGAAATATTTCATTAAAATTCTTTTATTTAT